GGGGGGGGGGGGTAGTAAAATCAAAATTAATAAAAGAAAAAATTTTCTCCATTCATTCGACAAGGAACTTGTACACCACTACAGCCTATGTATGTTCGGTATGAAATTTGAACGACGTGAAATTTCTCAACTGTTTACACGTAATAGCAATGCCATACCCAAGCGTTACACACCAATGCTGACTCCTGCTAATTCCACAGGCCTTTAAGGCATGTGACGTGACATCAACTCGGTCTCCCAGGCTTCTTCAGACTGTTTATGTTAGTTTACCAACGATACAAACACTCAGACCAGCCAGAGCCCATCCAAGGATTAGACGCGCTAAGTCTCGTAGGAAAAGAGTCTCAATTCCCTCTTGCTTGGAGAGTTTCAATTTTTTTTAGAGCGACGCAAGACCATTCTTTGGATGAAGTTTTAAGACTGGACACCTGCAACGGATCTGGGACGGATTGGGATTATCGCGGAAAGATATATTTGAATATTGAAAATATTTCGATACGACAGCTTCGAGTCTTGGAGGTTAGATTTTTCCAATTCTGAATTGCGTCACCCTGTTTTCTTTCTTGAATTGTATATTCAACTCTATGTCTCGAGGATGTTTAAACTTTCCTTGTCGTCTTGTCTTTTCTTCTTTTTCTACTCGAAATCTCGCGCGCTACGCTCGTATCTCAGATCAATTAAGAGGAACTCGTCCGAAACGACAAACACGTGGACCGGACTGTCGGCCGGGAACGTCTGTCGCGTCCCTCAATGTACTTTATGTATCTCGTCGACGGTGAGAAACGTAGAAACGGCAACGAGCACCGTCGCTGGTACGAAGAGAGAGTCATAGAGAGTACGAGAGAGAGAGAGAGATAGAGAGAGAACGTAAACCGCTGATATCTCACCCCCTGAAACCATTTGCTTAAATCACGGGGTGTGTCTAAATGACTCTAAAACGCGTAAAACGATCCGACTTTTGATTTACTGTCGCGACGACGGGACACCTTTGTAAATACGCCTCCGGCCGACGCTTCCTTTGCTAGAATCCACGCTAAACTGTCGTCCCAGTTATTAGGCCTCCCAAAAGTCCTTCGATGGAAGTAACGAACGTTCTCATTGTCGCGCGGATAGAGTGATTCTTGAAAATATTATAAAATCGTGCAAATATTATTTATGGCCATTTTCTGTCACCGAAGACTAAACAAAGGTTTGGGTTTATCAATAGCGTCCAGTGTGTAATGACGTCTAGAGAGAATCAAAGCGAAGCCATTTTCAAACAGCCATGAGATCCTATATACAATTCATACAGATCGCTATAAGTTAGGGATGTCTTGGTTGATTTTAATATAATTCATATTACGAACTGGGTATTTTAATTTTACGACGTTTAAAACTAAAACTAAGTTCGTCGTAACTTCGTGTAACGTCATTTAACGTAGTGTCAAAAGTATCGCGAGGTAAAGACAACTCGACTAGGAATCAACCTTGACTTACATGCCCGTTGTCGTCCAGCTGATTATTCGTTAGTTTGAGTTTGTCGAACGATACAGGTTGTTTCATCCAATGCGCCCCGCTCGCAGGACTGTCCGGATGTACGTGGATTCTTGGGGGCGAAACTGGATCAGCACGACCCGCGACGACCCAGGCGCTACTATGAAATGCGTATCTGTACCTCTTGTCGTCGCAAGGTACAAAATCCATCACCAGCAAGTAATCCGTATTCGGGTCCAGCCCGAATATTCGGCACTGAAGAAAGACGAGAAGAAAATGCAATTAATACTGACGCCACCCGACTTCCGCGAATTATGGGTTTCGATAAATCAGTTTATAAGAAAATTGATATCCACCTGGAAAGTCGGGAACATCCTTCTTCCAGCTTTCGTTACTATCATTTCCGTTCCAAGCTGATGAAACTCCTCCCACAGTGGTCTGGCTTCCAATGCTGCACCTGCACCTGCAAGTGCAGGATGTAAAGGCCTCTTCGATGCACTCTCGTCCGGTGACGAGGATGTTCCGCTCTCGTTGTTGTTGTTGTTGTTGTCGTTTCTCGAATCCGACGACGACGGCGAGATCGTCGACGTCGCATGATTCAGGGTCTCCATGGATGGACTTCTGGAACGCTTTACACGGCCGGCGGTCTGCAGACAGGCTGAAAGTAGGAATTTTAGGAATTTCTTCTCTTACGTCAATTCGGTATCGGGAGTTGAGGGAGACGTATTTCTTAATGATTTTAAGATGTGTTTGCACTCGGCTTTTTGTCTTTTGGATTTTTCGTGCCGAGTTAACTAAGTCGAAACTCTAAATAAAACTTCTTTCGCAGAATCTATTGGTTTCTTTTATACTGTAGAGTAGTGCAGTATGCAATGAAGTAGCATGCAGTGAATGCATGAGAACGAAAAAAAAACTCAGTCTGCTAAAACAAGGCGGGTTTTCAAGCAGTCGAGCTAAATTCGTTACACCCAGTGATCCTGTTCGAATGGATGTACAATACAATTATATAGTGGAGTCCGGTTATTACGACTTTGCTTATAACGATCGATCGCATATTTCATCCTGCTTGCCCCCCTGGGTTTGATTTTCATAAAAATTCGTATGGGACTTTTATTTTGCTTATTACGTATTCGTATTCCTTTAGTACCACGTCATTTTCCTGTCACTCGAATGTCGTTATAAACCAACCCTACGTCTCATATCTATGGTTAATTAATTTTGATAACAGTATAATTAATATGTTAAATATACAATATACGTTATGTTACAATGATAAAGTAGCAGGACAGCTTTCAATTTAAAAAATATTCCTGCAAGCTTACCTTCCATTTGTTGCATTGGCGAAGGAACTGGCGGCAACTGTTGATGTTGATGATGATGCGTCGCCCATTGCTGATAGCAACAGTCAGCAGCAGCAACGTTATGTTGTTGTTCATGTTGCTGTTGCATCCTTTCACTGTTGATTATTGTACACTGACACTGACACCATTCATCAATTTTTGTAACACCTTGTCAATCGTTCATTTCAATTTCAATAATTGTCGTCAAGAAAATTACCGACGTTAAATCGATCAACCTGTTGATAATCGACGTGGTTGCTAAACTAGTTAAATTTACTCTAACAAATCTTCAAGTACTCGATCCCGTCGCACCGTGGAGAGTGTAAGTACGCTAAAAGTTTGAAGAGAAGGTATCGCAGCTAAGACTTTACTGAAATTCACAGGGTGGCTCTCCAAACAAACTGAACACTTGATTTAGATCATTGCCTGCCGAATCATTGAACCGGTTTCTCAGGTCTTTCTGACTAGAACACCATAGAATTACATTGAAAAATGAAGAACGTCTAAAAAATTCTTCTTATCCCTGTAAATCGAATTCCTCGCTGTATTTATACAGAACAGACATAAATCCACAGGAAAAAAAAAGCATATAGTCACAAAGGAAAAGGAAGATAATTTACCCCATAGAATGAAATAGGAAACTTCCTTAAAAAAAAGACCCATCCACTTTTAATATAAACGATCTTCAATTTTTTTTATCAGTCTTGCACTTGTAAAAAATAAAAAATTCTCGTTTCTTCTACCGTAGAACGAAATGCACTGGTTCCGTACTCTCGAAAGCTCACCGGCCCGATATCACATGAAAGTAAGGTAACGAAAATGGAAAAGTTTCACAAAGAAAAAAGCGTAAGCACCTAGGAACCGTCTCGTTTCCTTGAAAAATCAAGACGCAGACATCTCCTCGAATGGGCTGATCCTTGGTGCTCCAGAGGAGGATATATCACAGTGGAGAACTTGACCGAATACCCGACGATTTCGAGCATCATCGGAGGGTCAGACTGCCCGTTAACAGGAGCCGTCCGCACCTCCGTACCCGGTGACGATGACAAGGGCGATACTGGCCAACGAAGAGGAGGCAGGCGCAGAGGAGGACTCCTTGGTGGCGTGTAGTAACGAACGGACGGATGAACGAACGTAGGTACAGACGTACGGATGTCTTCTGGGATAGAGACTAGCTGCGAGCTTATCATCGGCACATCATTCTCTCCTCTCTTCTTCTCGCGACACTTCACTTCTTCTTTCCTCTATAATACTCCCACGGGAACTGCCGGATATTCCTGCTGGCTAACAGAGAGACAGAGACCACAGCCAGAATACTCTGTCACGAGGAGGAGCTTCCTCTACGGGTTCCCTCCTACGTTAGACACCCACGTTCATCCGAGACGCTGCCTTTTGGCTGCGAGGGCGGAGCTTAAATCGAGTCACTGCCACTTCACTTTGCTTCACTTCGCTTCACTTCACTTCACAGCCACCACCGACATCCAGACTCCCTTTATTAGCTGAACGCCAATTGGAATTTGTAGTTGACAATAGTTTTCAATTCTGATAGCTCCTTCGTTTCGTTTGGCTTGCACAAGAGGAATCGGACAAAATTATATAAATTGTTGTCCCTTCTATTTTCTTTCAATAGTACACGGTATGAAATAAAAACTTTTAATGGTTATGTTGTCTGATGGAGGAATCAAGCTACTGAATTTACTTGGGCGATCTTTAATGATATTTGAAATGCTGTAAAATTTATCGTTACTTGATCTCACTCTGACATGTTGATACACACCTCTTTCGTTCCTTTGTTGAAGTAATTACATATAGCGAGTTTACGGCTTGTCTGTTCTCTCTCGATCGTAAAGATATCACAGTTATTAGACTATTAGTGCCTGCTTAGTTATACAAGTTAGTGGAGGATGTGCATTCGCGTTTTCGGTTACATGAACATACCTTAACCTTTCCGTTGACGTAAAGATGGCTGCGCAAAGTAGCGCCGTATAATTTTACCGAACCACGTAAAACAGTCAGTCGCTCTAGAACATTGGATAAAGTTTACGTCTGGATGAAATACCAATGGATATACACTTTTCTTTAAGTAATTTTCACAATATATTCTCAACTGTACGATTAATGTGTGTGGAACTATATAATGTTTACGTTATATCGATACAATTGAAACGGTCTGTATATGCTGTGTATATATAAATATACATATATATATGTATATATAACCACACTACGGGGTACCGAATTATTTCTCGTTTGGCTTTGATCCCAGGAGAAGGCGGAGTCTCGCGGCCTGCCCAACAAATTAGTAGACATCGTCGAAGCCTCTGGCGGATCGTCCTCGTAGTAGCTGGTCGAGACGCCTTTCTTTTTCCACCGACGATCACCGTCTTTTCGCGTCCCACGCTCGCGATCCGGGCGATCCTGACGACCCTGACTAATTCAGCCCATTTATTTCTAAACGGGAGACAAACGGAGCATCAAAAGACACGGCGCGTATGGAATCGTAGATACGCGAGACACGCCGTGACTGTAGTCACTGGTATTTCACTATGACTTTCCCATAAAACAAGGTGAAAATGGGCATACCAACGCCGGCCAACCCTCTATACTGGATTATAAGACAATATTTAAGAAGCTAAGTTAAAAAGCATGAAAATTAAATGTATAATTTCTCTTTAACGTTTTTCTCTGGCGATTTATTTATATAATAACAGTTCAGTGTAATGTGCATGATTTTTGTCAATGAGTGTTTGCTGAGGGCAAATAAGGCAAGGAAAAGGCAAAAGTAAGAAAAAAAATAGAAGATGAAAAACACATGTAGACTCTGTTGTTACTCGACGGTAGTATAAAGGGATTGTTAACAGGTCCATTTTTTCTTCGTCATTAAGACAAATAAATGTGTCAAAATTTGACGGATGTATGTTACCATTATCGGTGAGATTCTGTGAGGCTGCAGTCCTGACGTTCTCCTACATTGCCATTTGAATGACTGTGATATCCATTTTGAATGACACTCCAAAATTTAAGAGCATTCAAAACTAAAACTTTCTGGTGTTGCGCAAAGATACTAATAAAAGCCTGTTAGAGTTTGATGTAATTTCCAAATCTTTCTATCTTAAATTTTCGTTGGGAAACTGTATACCTACAGTCGGTAAAGAAGTTCTTGGTACAAGGGAAGGTAAAGTAATTTAATAATATTTTAGGTGAATGAATTATCGTCCGTAGTGGTTTTATTGTTCATCGCATGTTCCAATCTTAAATCTAAAATCTCGTCGAGCATCTATAGTTTATATATTGTTATATTAACAATTTAATTTTATTCATACTCTTAGGTCTAACTTATTACCGACGTTGCGTACTTCTTGTGCGACTGTTTACAATAAGACTATTTAATTGGTACGATCCTCATTTTTCTAATAATAATACGACACCCAATTGTTTTCGGAACATTAATTTATCTCAAGTAAAATGAAACTAAACAACGTTCCTAATTAGTTACAAAGAATTACAGACTACCCGCGCCCGATTGATTTATTGCCAAAATCGATTCCGTTGCGCGCTCGTTCATTAATAATTTGATTATTTAAAAAAACCAACAAAAAATTAAAATCAAATTCATTCAAGATATCCTGAACGAAAAAGAACACGAGTCCGACTGGATTTTACGTGTTTTATTATTTCGTTATATTAAATATGAATTAATTTTACCATTAGTAATTAGTCCTCGCGATGGAATAATAGCTGCAATAGCGGCATTTCCAATGGAAAAGTGCCGCATAGTGGAATCAATGTATATATACAAAATGACAAAAACGAACATAAACAATCCAAGGAACACAAAATAAGTTACATATTACCAGTATTACAATCTCCTGCTCGGAAATGTTATAATAATATACGTTAGTTACTTTATAACTATTATATTCCTGAATAAGATATTCAGTGTCCCTATCTAACTGTTCCTTTGTGCAGCGAGGAATCACTAGTAAAGAGGGGTAAGCCTTATGGAACTTTGTGCCCGACAGCTATTGGGCACAATGGGCATGGGAGATAAGCTGAAATTAGCATAGAAGTTCTAAAGAGGATCTTTTCTTTCGTTTCATTATGATTTCAGTACCAGTGAGATATATGCCAGTGAAGAGGGTTAAAATGCCATACAGTTCGTTCAAGACAAAGAATACATGGAAACTCCTCTTTACAAATTTCTCCTCGATGCTTTGTTTCTTGTGTAACTGACCAATACGTTTTTTCAAACTTTTCGTGTTGTGTCGTGACTCTAACAAAATTATCACGATTAAAACAAATCATAAAAATTAATGTACTCTAACAAAAAATTGTCTTTTTCATATCCATATCCCCTCAATTGAATTGTCGTCGATGAGGACAATGAAAATGTTTGAAAAAAAAAAACAAACCGTTTACTGTAACAATGGACGTCCCTTGTTTATCACTAGTTGGCCTAATGTCCATGAATATCTACACGCGAGTTTCGCAACTGGAAAGAATGACGTTCTGCGTCAGCCAATTCCAATCTCGAACAAAGTCTTGACCAGTTTGTTTAAAACCTGGTGTAAGATATATGTATGTATATCGAACGCGACGGAGGGCACCGTAATGAAGCAAAGAAAAAAAAAGACAAAAGGATACTTTAAAGTTTTGGCTTTAGGTGTTTTATTTATAAAAAAAATTAATGTACAATGAATGGGGGGATTGGGGTATGGTGATGAATAATGCGGATCAACCTCGATTCGATAGATTTGATGTTGCTTTTCTTTTCGTTATTACTCTATGGCGCGCTGTGCTCCTAAGGCTGAATTTTCTCGTTTCGCGAACGCTGTTTCTCGTCCTTAAGTGTCTAACACTGCTTTGTTAGTTGTACAGGTGCAACCGAGGAAAGAACGAGTAATAAGTGACGATGACGATGGTGATTGTGCACAGTTGGAAAGAAAAGGGAACAAAAACGATGACGATGAATATAATATACGATGAACTAGGCGGGGGATGATGGCATATTAAGACGATTAAAAAAAAAAGAGAAAAAACAAACGGAAATGTCGCAGCTACGAGTACATTAACAAATAAAATTATCTAAATTGCATCGCGAGGTTAGTCGATGTGGTGACGAGTGGCTGCGACCACGGACTCGTCATTTTTTCTTTTCGTATTCTTCCACTTTTTTTTGTTTGGTTTCCTTACGCGTAAGGAAGTGTATGTACGTGTTCGTGTATATTTTATTATGCTTGCATTATTAATAATTATACCGTAATTAATCCCCCCCCCCCTAAATTGCCAGCTATGATGATGACACGAAGCTGATTCCGGAGCAGGGTCAAACCGTTGTCTCGTATTAGCAATTAAAAGTAAGAAAACACTACGCTCGCTCGTTCCGTGTCAAATTATTTTTTTTTTAATTATCCACAGCGATACAAATTCGCGATATTACAAGAGCGACTGTAGAGTTCAATTACGCCATGTACAATTTTTAAATATATACTCAATCTGATTAGCGAGGGAAGGGTGGGAAGCCGGCCCGTTTTAAAGCGGTACACTTCTTTCAACATTCAAATGATTAAATGCCGCGACTGTCGCATATTCAATTCAGAAAAAAAACATCCAACCAATTTGTTTCTCCATTTCGAGCAGGACTTAATTCTTTCTCCAAGGTAGCATACCAATAGCCTAAACATGAAAACGTAACAAGTTTTTTCTTTTTTGAAATAACATGCCTATACCGTGCCGAAGCATCGAAAAACAGGGATATATTCGCATTTCAACTTCGTGGCCAAATTATCCCAGAATAACAATCTCAATTCGTTTACGTGGTAGTCTGTCAAGCATACGAATGATATATAACTACGAACGAGATATTCTGTCCTTCAATTCTCCGTAAGAAGAAAAGAACCATGGATGACGTTATCGGGACCCTTGCAACAGTTGGCACTCCGGAGTCTGCTTCAGTACCCACAAGTTCTTATATCGACAATCATTGTTTTGTGGATGGCTCCGTGATTTTCACATAATAGTGGTTGTAGTAGCAATAGTAGTAGCAGTAATAATAATAATAATAATAATAATAATAATAATAATAATAAACATACTCGTAATAATAACTCTTTCTTACAGTGGACTCTTCGGGACGTAAGAGGCGATTCCCGCTGACGTATATAAGGGAGCGACACGGTGAAGATCAAGGATATTGTTTCATTGTAATTGGCTGTCGTGTTTTAATCAGTAGATCCTAAAGATGGCCTTTTTAAAGAGGATCGGACCGGATTTTAAAAGGGCGGAATTGAGGGAGGATAAAGGTCTTAAGGTCCTAAGTGTTGTGTTGTTGTGTCGTTTATACGACAAGGATTTCTTCTAAGGGTTTCACTTCTTTTTGTTCTTGTTGTTCGCACCTCGAGGCGGCGTCACGGGTCGACCAGCATTCAGACCACCATACGTGAACTTCCTCTTGTCCGCGGGTTTAAGAATTTGGAAGCTGCACATCAGAGTGTCATCTACCGACATCATGGCCCCCGCATTGTCAAATTCACCGCAGTAATTAGGCGCCGAGAATAGCGTGACGAGTTGACGCTTTGCAAAGAACTCGTAACCATCCTCTACGACCTGAAAATTGATAAATCATTTCGTAATTACAACGCTTTCTTACTTTCTCGCTATTTGCGTACTATTTGAGCTTGCGGCACCTTCTATGAGAGTCCGCATCGACTTACCTGGTGAGCACGGCAGATGAGATCAAAGTCGTGTTTATGCAAGAACTTGGCGACGACTTCGGCACCAAAGGTGAACGAAACACCACGGTCATTCTCTCCCCAACCCATGGTATCCTTATCAGGATCTGACCAGAGAAGATCACAAAGCAGACCCTGATCAGGTACATCGGTGGGTCTCATGATACGTCTGATTTGTTCCATGCTTTGAAGGTCCGGACTAAGACCGCCGTGGCAACAAAAGATCTTCTCGTCAACGATGGCGGCCACCGGCAGGCAGTTGAAGCAATCCGTGAATGTTTTCCACAATTTGATGTTATATCGACGTTTACCTAAATTAAGATAAAAATAACACATGCAACACAACAGGAAGGAACCCATCGACGATATGAAATCGAACAATATACAGCATTTTCAATGTGAAATCAGAATTAAAAATTCCACTTACATTCATCATAGAAACCGTATATCCTGTTGATGGAGGCGCATTCGTGGTTTCCTCTGAGTAAGAAGAAGTTCTCGGGATATTTAATCTTGTAGGCAAGCAAAAGACAGATCGTTTCTAGCGACTGTTTCCCTCGGTCTACGTAGTCACCCAGGAAGAGATAATTGCTCTCTGGAGGGAAACCGCCATACTCGAAAAGCCGCAACAAATCATAGTATTGTCCGTGTATGTCACCTAAAATTAGGTAATTCAAAGAGTAATGTTGATTGTGTCCGAAGAAAGTTGCACCTTTGACCTTAAAGAAGTAACTATTATTTTATAATTACAAGGTCAAGTGGGTCAGTAACAATACTCATTATTCTTTCATCTTACTGTTTCTTTCACTTTATAGCTTTATGATTATTGCACGCCGTAACTGGGTCTCGCGTGGTCGTAGAAAAGAAAAGAATGCACGTCGCGACGCCGCGCGACCCCTTTTATAAGCGTTGAGGATATTTTCGCTTTCCATTGCGGCATATCAAAATAATTTTAGATACAGGCAATACGAGGTCGGTCCAAAAGAAACGACTGTCATGCCAATAAAACTTGCATGACGTTCCTTTATCTGCAGTTTAGTCATCTACAAATGGTTTTGTCAGCCACGTGGCATGGATTTAATCATAATCCATGCGAGCGATGCATCCCCCTTTTTATCGTTCCACGGATATGCTTATTTACAAGTGCCAATGACATTCCTGATAATCTTGATCTGATTATTTCTTAAAGCAATACCCAGGAATCTCGTTATACAATAGACGGAGATGAAATAACATACGACTATTTTATTATTTTGATACTTTAAACAGAAATTGGAATACACAATATTTGAGGATCAATGTATTTTGGCTATTAAATAATAACTGCACATTCTATATAAATGTACTGAACTGTGATTGACGCTCTGTTGACGGTGCGCCAGATAAGATATGCAATCATTATATTAAGTCAATTAACAGTCCGAATCCAAAGCTACACATTGATGAACTTGTATTTATGAAATACTATCAGTTATTTACACAAGAAAAACGCGTACATATATGCATAAATATAATACGCATTGAGTTCACTAAATATTAAATAACATGGATACATAGATTTCCTTCATTTACTTTCTGTGAATCTGATAACGCATTGCATTGATTAATATCAGCCTACAAGCAATTTAGTACTTCGAAGGGTAGATGATTTTTGTAGTAATATTTTAAACGGTAGCCAAATCATCAATATGTTTATACATACCAAAATAGAAGTTTATTTAACGATGTAAACATGTGTGTAGGAAATAAAAAGCCGTCAAAATGCTTACCACATATCTTTAAGGGTGCTTCCAGCTCGAGCAGTATGGGCTGCGATAGAAAAATTTCCCGAGACTTTAAGCAAAGCCCCCGAATCTCTCCCTCGGTCAGCTGCACATTTTTACCAGGTCGAGCTCCCCTTACTAAAAAAACACAGAAATACAAAGGTACTTTAATTTAGATAGACAGATGCAAATATCTTTATTAAACCAGTTTGAAATATTCAAATGTCAAATCTTATCTTATTACTTGAACAATATTTATTTTCCAATTCATGTATTACAAATTACTGCTTGACAAGAGTGCATCTAGTACTACAAAATACTAACAGTATTATGTAAATCTAATCCAATAATCTTCTTAATCTATCAATACCAGGTTGATTCCCTTGATATATACTATATAATGAATATAGACACATTTAAATTGAACCAATACAGTGTGTCATTGCAATGACATTCGCAGCCCTTACTCACTCTACCTATCATATCATTTAAGATATCTCCTTAGAAGAAATTGATACATCTGCTTAGAAAACTGATGAATAGATTTATAAAGTAAAGAGAAACAGCATCCTAAAGAAATAAGGAAAAGACAGTTAAATTTGTTGAAATAAAAGTGGTATAATATTCATCTTTCTATTCTTGCAAAAAGACTATGGAAATATGTAGTAAGATTATCTCAGATAAGTAAGTCATCATAAGCAGACAATTAACCCAGTTAGATGGCGTGGGATCAAAAGGGAAATAAAAAAGCATGTAAAATAACAGGGAAATAAAATACTAGGGAAGCCCTGGCCTTAACCCCGGGGACAGCCTCACGGCCGAAAATAGTGCAACCGCAAAATAGTCAGCGAGCTTCAAAATCTCTAAAAGTCATTCCACCGTGAAGATCATAACTGTCCCGAAAAACAACTAGAAAAAATTCGACTAACCAATAGTAATGTGTAAAATAATCCAAGAAAATAGCGCATCCAGCAAGACGATAGTCGAGTCGCAAAAAGCGAATAGCGAGTATCAAGAGTCGTGGCGTTGATCGGCGGACCTCGCCCAAACGGTTCACCGTAGCGGTTGTCAACGTAGTTTTATGTAAACAAACGGTATATCTAGGCATATAGGCAATCGCCTAAAATTAATCGGTGTTGCGTAACCAATAAAAACCTATTCTAAAGAACGATCTAATGTATCAGTAAGAATTGCAAAGCGACCTAAGACAGTGTAACGCAGACGGTGGGCGCCCCGGCGCCTACGAAGGCTCAATATTTTTTCACACGGCGTACACTCAGCGGGCAGCTAGCTTTACCTTCCAAGAGTCGAGCGATGATGCTGTCAATGTTTAATTTATCGGTCTCAGCCATCGGACCAGGATTTCGTGCGCGTCCCGGGCTTCACACGGAGCACCTCGCCCTAAGGATGGCCGCTGATTTTATTGGATTTCCACCGGCGGGGCACTGGGTACTCACTCGCGTACGCGGCCTCGTACAAGGTACTCGCAATGGCCGCCCGAACAAGCGCGCACTCTGATCCGCTTCCCTCTTTCAGCTCTCTTCTTACGCCCCGCTTCAGTTCTTGCCAACACTCCGTGCTTATTTCCTCTGTGCATCCGCTGGCTTCCTACACGAACGAGGCGCTTTATGAGCTTTTACAGTGCTGCCAATCTTGAATTTTATCGTTCTACCAACAGCAATAAGTTACAAACGATCTATGCGCCAACTAGATGATTTTCTGATAGAACGCATGCGCGCCCAACTGTACGTAAATCCTGGTTTATAATTCTCGCGAATTCATTCCAATTCGTTCTTATTCATTCTGATTGAGGCTAATCGTCAAAGTGTAATTAGCCTGGGTAAAATGCGAATGTTATGACAGTTTCGTATGCTAATGGCTGTGTTAGACGTGTCTAACGATGGCACATCAAAGTCCGGCATAATAAAACAGGCATTTAATTTTTGAAATTTTGTCTCATACAAGCAACCCGATTATCCTGAGGTATTATGGATTTTTTTTCACAGATTTTCCGTATATTTGTTGTTTTTAATTGAGAGACGATATAGGGTTAGATGTAACGTATCCAGATATCTTTCAATGCAAGGAAAAAACATTGACCAATGGTATGCGTATGAATATGTATGAAATAACGGCACAATGGTTGGGGATGTCATTTTAATGTTATACTTTATACGTTCTTTTCATTTTTTTTTTTTCATGATTTATTCTCACAAATTTTCGATAATTCCACAATTTTCCGACTAGCATATAACAGAAATCAGTACCAGCATTAAACCAACAGACATAACCTAGGAAAATATTATAAGAGTCGGTTGTGTTTCTGTGGTCGTAAAGTCATTCTATCTCAATTTCCATTGGTCACGAAATCTTAGGGGTTAACTGTTGTCCAACCAGATTCAAGGTCGCACCTCCGGGCGTTCATTTATTGTCAGACGCGGTTATGGTAGTTTCCTACGAAACTCGCCATTAAAAGGATCATAATTATTGGCGGTTGTCGCATACTTTTCACGTAATTTGTTCTCGAAAAAATACACGAACATGCCAGAAAATGTGGTAAGTAATGAATTATTAATAGTTTTAGGGATTTTTTAATTTTCTTTATTCAATAATGCAATACTGTGCATATTGTACGTTATCTTATAGTATTGATGTCAGTGTGGTAGGTTATGAATTCAGTTCCGTTTGGAAACAAAGATCACTGTTGAAAAGATTTCCGTATCTCTAAGCTTGAAGCAATAAAGATATGGCGCTTGTAATATGATACTATATTATTTTTAACATGTAAACGTGAACTTCACGTGGCTTTTGTAATTGAAACCCGTTTAATACCTCGGTATCTATTTGCATTTGTACGCCGACTACAGCATAGTATATGAGCGTCTGTAGATGCAATTTATTGTTTGCCTCAATGCTGCTCCATTTTTCTTTGCACATTTCAGAGATAATATAGCGCTTTTATTTATTCAATTTACTAAGGATGTTATTGTTACTATGATAAAGTGGTGGAATTTATAATATATATTTATATTTTTTATGCTTATTAGTATATAATGCAAATACAGTTATTTAGCAAGATCATGTTATTTGTCTTTAATATATGTTGTTCATGGGTCCTCTAGTTGAATGGCGATCATGTGGATGTAAATGGAGCTAATGGAGAACCGCGTGAACATGAAGAAGAAGCTACTGAGGAGGATGTTCATTTTGAACCAATAATTACTTTACCATTGATTGAAGTGTCCAATAATGAAGAAGAAGAGGTCGAATTAATAAAACTGTAAGACATTGCTGTTATGATATATAATGTTATTACTTGCATATATTTATTGTCTGGGATAAGTCAATTTGCCTACTCTTTTATGAGGAAAATATAACTCTTATTATAAAAAAAATATTGACTTTGCAGAAGAGCGAAGTTATATCGGTATGATTCATCAAGCGACCCAGCCGAATGGAAGGAAAGAGGAACAGGGGATGTAAAATTATTAAGACACAAAATAAAAAATACAGTCAGAGTGGTAATGCGCAGAGATAAAACATTGAAAATATGTGCTAATCACTTCATAACACCGTGGATGGAACTTAAACCAAACTGTGGCAGTGATCGTGCATGGGTTTGGAGTGTTCTTGCAGATTATGCAGATGAGCAGCTGAAGCAAGAATTACTAGCGATACGTTTTGCCAATGCCGAAAGTACTACTCTCATATACTTATAATTGTAAACATAATCTCATATGATGAAGTTATGAAAAAATCTTATTATTCTTACAGATGCTTCCATGTGGAAAGAAGCATTCGAAAAGGCCAAAAAAATAGTGGGTGCCGAGTGCGAGATCTACGCCGGGAAAACAAATCCTGAAGAAGCAAAGGATGACAGCGATAGCGACAGCGACAGTTCTAGTGACGTGAGCTACGGCGAAAGTAGCGATAACGACGAACGGAATAACTCAACAAAACCGAAGGAAGACACGTCACCAGTTCAGGATTCCTCAGCTACCAAGGATTATCCAAAAGATTTAACAGCAATCTCTGAAAAAGATACGAAAAAAACAGACGAACTAACTGAAAAGCTGGAACACTTAAACGTCAAAGCAGATGGGCAGAGTAACTAACCATACTTCAAGAAGGAAAACGTGACACTAGAATTCGGAGTACACATTCCAGCAAAACTTGTTTTACCGTGCTGATAATGACAATGGGGATCATTCAATTTTAACTACATGAAAATTGTTACACGATAAACGGAGAACCGAATAGATTGAATAAATTTTCAATTTAATGATTAAATAGGAATATTTATACAGATGTTATATGTTGTCTGTGATTTTTTAACGAAAGCGATACAAATGCCGACATAGAGCAGATAGGAGGAACATTATAATGACATAATTTGTTGTACAATGTGACTGAAAAAAATAGAATGAACGAACACGCATTCTGTATTTAACGCGAGATCATCATTTTTTATTCACTCTGTACCAGTCCTCTCAGATAATCACGCTTCTAGAAATGTAGTTCGTGTATATCGCAACATATGATCCAGAAAAAAAGAAACGATGTCGTTGTAGTAACCAATTTTTTCAGTTTTCTTTTTTTTTCGATTTTACACATTGTATGAAATATTGGCAGTTACAACTACGACTTCATACTTTTTTTATTCGGATCATTCCACGCGTGTTAAAACAATAGCTTGTACGTCTTGTACCTCTGGGTGTTTATATTAGAATAAAGTGCTTCTTTTTTTATAAAAAAGATTGTTGCGCTTATTCTTTATTACATTATAAGATCCAGAATACTTCATAAGTACTTCAAATAAGTTTAACTGCACAAAAATCATTATTTTCATGATTTCAAACTTCGACTCCGTTCAACGCAATGATAGTAAATCGTGAGTCTCTAATTGTAAGTGCCTGAAAATTCATCAACCCTTCAGTGCTCCAAATATTTCGTGGCAAAATTTAATCACGTTTTTTTGTTAAAGTTTTTGAAGAAAACAACAATCGTTTGATTTAAATTTAGGAGGCGGAGTCGCAACAATTGGTAACAATTGGCCGTTTTAAAAAATTCAAATGTTTTACGACTTTTCCCGAATCTACCCCAAATCGTATTTCACTACAGCCTGTACTGAAAGTTCTTCAAAGTTCATCCCTGGATGTGAAGGACTGTAATATATTTCTTCTTTCCTCCATCACACGCTTTTTATCATTCGATAATTTTCCCTTTAGAAGACCTTCCAATCGTGTTTGTTCAGTCTGTACAAAAACGTCACCGCGCTCCATTATTCGTTCCATCAGTTTTACGTAAACCTTTGCTGCAGTACGTTGTTCTTCAGATAACGTATCTTCGAAGATTTTGGCTCTCTCCAAAATTTTCTGTAAATAAAAAGTGTATGTAAAGTGATTTTTGTCTGCTTCATAAAATTGAAGGGTTATGTTATATTTCCAGTTCATAGGAATGTTTCTATATAGACTGTACCTTTCTTTCGCTTTCATTAGCACTTTGATATTCCTTAGCAAGTCTGTCTAACTGCTCAACGCAACCTGGAAGGCCCAGATAGACTCCAGAGTGAGATCTGATGAATCTCTTAATATTATCTGCCGTAAAATCTTCATCTTTCTCAGCAACAAATTTGTAAGGTTCGCTACGTCCTTGAACGAACAAACGAATGGCAGGGTAATCGTCTTTGTTTATGTCATATTTTTGAGCAAGGTCAGAGTTATCCTTATTTCCAAAATCTTTAACTCCCACTTCAGCTACCAAGAGGTCCTGTGAGTCCTTCGTATCCGCTGCAATCTTCCTGAATTCATCGTGTTTGTCGCCGTAAGGAAAAGCAACGTCGAATTTCACAACAACCGCTTTGAATTTTGGAATAACCTGAAATACATAGTTTGCTAACGATCATTAAACCCGTCTCATAAAATAGAAACTATGTATAATACATCAACTCTAAAACAGTATAAGATATATGCTTCGTAAAGTATCACGTGTTCATGCAATCGTTTATCATTTAGGATTCTGATTGGGCGATTCAGTAACCATAGCAACAAGTACTTCAATCATTGCAAATAACATCAAAATATTTCAAATCGATCTAACAAAAAAAATATACATACATCTTCATTGAAGCAGACCGACCAAATCTTACCTTGTCAAAGGAGAAAGAATCAAGGGGTACGCATCCCTTGCAACTCTCAGCATTGGCAGCTATCAAAACACATCCAAAGGTAGTAATAACAATCCAAAGGGCGCGCATAGTTAGATCACTGATAAGAGGAATAGAGACCCTAATAGGAATTATCGTCCAGCCTTATAAGCAGCACCCACCTTCTGAATCAATTATCAACCAAGTTTCGCGTTCGCTAGTAGAACCAGGTACAAATAACAAGAATTTAGCATCAATTACTGGCACTACCGTTCTCGCGATTCGCTACCAAGTATGAACGCTTCTAAAGCAACTGCTCGTGTTTTCTCATGGCGGTGTGGGATTTACCACGTTGGCATGTCGAGCGTCGACAGTCGACGCTGCTAGTGGATGTCTCGCGGAGCAACGCCGAATCAGAAACGGCCACGACCGGTGGGACGATACAAAACGAATCACGTAGTGGACGTGACGCGCAAGTGCACGATGTATTTTTACTACCCGTATAAAAGTTAAGTTTATGCCTTAAATATATACTTTTCGTGCACTCCTGCTCATCCTGGATGGGACTGTTAGGTTTTGAAAGATCTCTTGGACTTCCAGAAAGGATACGATGACGATTAAAAATAACATAGCTAGATATCATTATAACAGAGATAAACAGTACTTATTTGTTTTTTATTTTTTATGCAACGACCCATATAATATCGATTTACTTTTACTCTGAATTGAGATTGCCATGGGAATAAAGTACTAGTGATAATGCTAATGGATTGTTGTCTCGTTGACTTTTGATAACAAAAACATGTTAAGAATTATTTTATGAAATGTACAAAATATAAATGGTGTTTTATTGCTTATCGTGCTTCCTGGAACTTTATAACACTGATACGATCCTTTTAGCAAAAATTATATAGGTTATATTCATTACGTGCAATACTTTCATTGACATAACGGCACGTACGTTTTTGTAATCAACACAGTTGTATCGATCGAATTTTTTTACATAGATGGAAAATGAAACAATCAAAATATAATGACAATGTTACGAGTACCTATGTCAGTTTATTGTTTGCATTTATTGTTTATTGTTAATATCATTTATAAATTATTAGGTCGAGTTATAGATAATTTCCGTTTTAACATAGCAATTTTATTCGTCAATAAAATAATCAACAATTATATCGTAATCATTCTGCCACTGTTGTGATAAGACTGAGGGACACTTATTTGCTTAAAACAAACTCTGATATGTGGAGTATCATGTGTTTTTAAGATAAAAAATACATTGCTAAAATTTATTCCCAGAAACAGAAGTTAATTACGACTCGACCTAATATAATATACTACTAAATATTTATAAAATATCTTTGCTACGTTTTTTAGTCAAAAATAACTTTCTTTTAAATAATGGCAATTCTAATTTTTTTTTATTAAAATAAAAATTACATTTCCATTTTATTAATTTCTTACAAAAGAATTTTCAACATAATTTTTTTTGACATCCATTGTCTTGACCTTTTGTGTCTATAGTGACACGATGATACACAAATAATGGAATCCTCGACACTTTTAATAAATTAGAGCGATCGAACTAAATCGGTTGGTATAGTATTTATAGTGACTTCAGCAATACACTACCGGTACGATATAGTACGCTTGAGCATGAAACTAGATTAAAGACTTGGTTAGCTAGAAGAATACTATTGCACCCGGAATAAAAAAACATTCCTTTGGAACAAACGTACATAGATGTCATTAAATCTAATCGCCAATGGCTAAACTTGACATGCATAGAATTTCTAAAGAATCATGTAGGGATTACTGTTATCTACAGAAAATTACTTCAACTTATCACGATTCACTGTATACTTTCTATATATACATATATATTTGCACAAAGTAAAATATATGTTACTGAATAATTCGTTGGATGTACATACAATGTTGTCGTTAACTGTTGCACAAATCCTTGTTTAAATTTTTTGTAATAAATAAAAATTTAATGTTTGACTCAAGCATACCAAAAAGTAACTAGGCGTAAACTAGGAGTAAAATTAATTTCTGATAAATTAATTGATACTGACAATGACACGGTGATAATAAAAGGATTACAAAGAGGAAGAACGAACGTCACGTATATCCTTTAATCACTTTCTTTTCCTGTTCCCTCTTTTGTCCTTCATTTTTTCTTTCGCGCAAATTCCTCCTCGCGTTGCAGGAACAGATTAAAAATGCCTGGAGGCATTGAAAATCTTTCGTAGGCACATGACAATGCCTTGCAAAAAAATCTGGGATGTATTTTCAAGAACAGGATACGTTCACTCACGAGTGAAATCATTAACCTCCAAAGTGTCACTACGATAGTACCGAATAGTGAGAATCGCATTTTTCACACTCGACACAGAAAAAAAAACAACAATATATTAATAACGTTTGACGAATTATCTAACAGTATTCGATAAGCGTCGGGATGACCTAGTTTCGACCAGCACGTAATTAGATATTACACACGTGATTAAATACATACGTAGTGGATAGATATATAACTAGGAAAAACCCTTGGAAATAAGAGTAAAGAAAATAAGCTTTTCAAGCTTTCTGGCAGAAAGGCGACACACACGTGTGCGACGAGGTATTTACCGATAATTGGATCGGTTCAGACGGACGATGGAGATTAAAAAAAAGAATAATGAAAAAATGAAGGAAAACGACAGAGATGGAGAAAGAAGCTAAATTCTCAATGGCAGAATAGCAGGAATAAAATGATCGGGATGGCATATACGATAAAATGACGATATAGGTTAGGTAAGCCAAATCGTTTTTTTTCCTCATTCGATGCTTTTGGCTCTTGTAGCAAAAACGTTCGCCTTGATGGCTCGACCAATTTGAACGAACTTTTCGATGGAATTAACGTTAATATGATAGAGTTAAGTGGAGACATATGGGCGCAGGAATCCGACGGAGGTCAGGGCTGAAGGGGAACAAAGGGCAGTACTCGGTCGGTAGTGGTATAAGTGTAAAGCAGGGGAGGCTCGGAGGGTTGTTCGCTGCTACTAGTGGAGGAACAAGCTCCGCCAGAGGCGTCGTACGTTCATTGATAAGCGCGTACAACCCGACGGGCGTCGGGTGGTACCACGAATAAAACGTGACGTCACGACGTCGACGTCGAACGCGGCTGCGCCTTGACGACCGTGATTTTCGAGCTGGATACCCACGCAGTCGGACCCTTGGTCCTTTGATATTTTTAGGAATTAGAATGGATCGTTGAAAACGGATGTAGAGAATCCGGTCAAGAATAAAATTTGGATATAAAATTAATTATAAACTATAATAAGAAAAAAATTGTACTAAATATATAGGAGATTTTTCAATCGGGTTACATCATTTATGTGAAATATATTTTCTCAATTTTCCATAATTGTTCTAGAAATGAAGAGCTCATCTAAAAAAAAAATTAAAACAATTGTGTCTGAGAATGACGTAAGAAATGTGAACGTATTGTTAGGATATCTTCAGATAAGGATATATATATAAGACGAAATGAACTTCCAACTTGTTCTAAATATATTCTAAAATGTGCTCTAAGCTTCCACTAAATCTATTGATAGGACCGCACAAGTAGAGAAAGATGTGGAAGTAATAAAAGTAAATAAGGGAAAGGTCGAGGAAGAGTAGGAAGAGAAGAAAGAACGATGGGTGGAAGTAAAGAAGGAACGGTGGAAAGAAGGAAAGTAGAGAAAGGAGTAAAGAGGGAGATATTGGAGATTGGCGCACGTATTGATTGGTCTTTTGTGAAAGCTACACCCCCGTGTAGCTGCCAAGCAAAGCGTCATCGATCCAAGAGTGACCCATATCTGGCTGAGCGTTCCCCACCACGACATGGGCGCCACCCCGACGTCGCTGTTCTTCCCCACTTAACCAACCGCGGATCCCTTCCTTGGGCTCGGCACACCACCCCTATCCTGACTCCAGCAGCCCTGCCTGCCACGGCCGAACAGATCTTTGGGGTGTTCGGGATGATAACCCAGTGAAAACTCGCGCCGAGGACTCGACCAGCAGCAGCAGCCCTGGCCTGCCACAATCCCTTCAACTCGGTCATCGTAAGTCCATATCCATCGTTGAAAGAAAGAGAGTGAAAGAGAAAAGGAAGAGAGCGAGCGAATGAGCTAGAGCGAAAGGGAAGCGAGAGTGAGAGAGAGAGAGAGAGGGGGGAGAGAAAGAGAGAGAGAGAGAGACCAACATCAGAATGGAGAAAGAACCCCGTCCAGGTTCTCCTCGTAGATGACATTTCTTACTTGGATTATTACTTATGAGAATTGCGAACCTGGCCAGGGTGTCATCGCCAAGGAAAATGCTGCGCCCTTGAGTGTCAATGTCCCCCGTGATACACCTAACCATAAATAATCCGGTTCCTGATTCTTCCTGCCCCTGGTGGTTGTGCTGGTGCTCCGGTTGTGCTCCGGTGGTGTTACGCTCGTGTCGTGCTCGTGGTCCAAGCAGTGGTGGTAATCCTGCTATAGTTCGGTGGTGTGCCGTGAGCTCGCCGTGTATATGTATACTGGCTACCTTTGGTGGTGATCAATAAGCAGTGCCGTACTTATTACTTCGGGCCCCCGGAACTATTGCCGGGCTTGGTCCTGATTTTTACTCAAAGCTTATTATTTCATGACGACAGTATAGATTCGCATACCGCACACTCGGCTCATCGTGATACGTAAACGGAAGATAATATCTCTAAACTTTTTTTTTCATTCAAGATAAGAATCTCTCTTTCTAGTCTTCTCTAACTAATAAACTGTGATAAACGTGTATCCATGTTTTACTGTCCAGTCGATACGTTACGGTTCAATCCGGTAGGTACTCCTTACATCAATGTAAATATATTACTTAACAAGAGTATTATATATTTTTTTCATAATTTATATCACAAATTAGATATCAGTACATTTTTCGCATTTTTATAACCACGTCGTTCAGTCTAATGTGGTATTTGGTATTCAGAGATTTTTTTATGCACCGATAGTTAACATAACATCCGTGTATCAACAAAAAATAAATTTTCGAAGGAGTCTTTTTTTCTTTTATCACTTTTGAGAATTTCGAGATATTTCAAATGACAATTTGAAGTTAGCGCTCGGAACAGTTATGGCCGATTCCACTGAAGGATCCTTCACTTTTTCTTGGTGGCACCTCGAGCAGGGTTCTCTTGCGGTACTACACGACCCTGCAAACCAGTGACTAAATCCATACGCATTACTTAAAACTAAAAAAACGTTATTCGAATTGTACGTTAAATGAGATCAGTACGTTAATAAGACGAAATAATTGTGATTCGTTAAAAAAAAATTACGGTACTTCCAGACATATGTATGTGTGAGATTTTTAGTGACAGTGAAAAAGGCTTCTTCCCGGAAGTTACGTTGAATCAAGGTTGAATCACCTTTCATTTTCCCGAGATCTCTGCTGCATTTTTTTATGGTTCAAAATCAAATAGAAAATTTCCCAGCTTGCTCTTCATACTCATCTTTCGATTTTGGAAACTGTACCATTTATATTCGCAATAAACCAGCCGGACTTTAGAGCACAGGAAAATCTACTCCGAATTCATAAATCCGTTTGATTGTCCGTAATAAATTAATTTGCATCACGTCCGACTGTACTATAGATAACTCACTAGTCACTGGTCAAAATAAATGTTAAAGCTCAAAGTAATTATTATAAATCATCGTCAATTATGAGTTCGTCCTAAGAGGGGATATCAGCCAGTCTAAAATAATTGCCGGGACGTGTTAATTGGTAATCCAGCTGTCGAGTGATGTTAAACAGTCTTGTTAATTATTTGGAGTTGACTTATATCAACGTGTTGAAATTTTTATTAAAGAGTCCCTTGACACGAACCGGTGGCCGCTAATCTCGAAGAAAATTGATTTTTAAAACTGCCAGGGCGCCTCCATTTTACTCCTCCTAAATAGCAGACATTCCATCTCACGCTGTACGTATGAGTAATAATATATAAATTAGCTTATCAGTGTCAATGATTTTTCAATAGATAAGTCTCATCAATTACCATTAATTATGAACACGATTTATAGATACTTACAATAGTTTCGTTCATCCTAGATTCTCAATGAGTTTCAGTATTTATTATATGTATAAATACACATATATCTTGTAATCTTATCCTAAATGAAATTGGAATACTATTATAATCTTTTGGATGGTATCCGATAAGATCGTTTCGTAAATTTTAAGTGTATTAAAACTTTTACATGGAAACAGTGCCCTGTGCCATACCCAACTTGTGTCTAAACTAATTTCCCTCTATTAGAGACTGTTCGAAACTATTAGAAACTTTGGTTACCTATACAAAGCACTGTGCATTGAAGATCCGCGCAAAGGAGGAATAAAGTTGATTCACTTCAAAGAGAACGAAATAAATTAAAAAACAAAAATATAAAAAATCATCAATTTCATGAAAAAAAAAATGTTATCCCTCGTACATAGCCGTCATCGTATATTTCCTTATCTTGCATTACTGGCATAGGGGTCAATTGGTGAATCAAACTTTTTAAGAATTCATCAAACGAGGCACAGCACGAGGGATTGGTAAAGGGTCAAGTGGTTGGCGCTTATCCGTTCTGAGGAAATCATCAGTGCTCTCACGAGATTTTCTGGTACATCAGGAACATTCTCAGACATCCTATACCATTATAATAGATTCATCAGAGCTAGTATCATGTTGTTAATGTGTCACGTCACATGGTATCCTCACCGCGGTGTATCCTTGAGGTCGGCCAGGCCGGATCTGCCATGTTGCAGACCTGGAGTGGCATCCAATTAATTAAGATAGAGCTTCCAGCTATGCTAGACTGATAGTATCATAGTACCTGATAACGCGGAGAGAAACTCATAGTCCAGTGGTTTTGCAGTGCTGTGGTGTTGGAGGTGGCGGAACCACGGCACCTCAGGCTCCACAGCTGCAGGGTACCGGATCTGCTGTTGGGGCCACCTCTACAAGAAATACCATAATGCAGGACCCCGTCCTCGAAACGATTCTCGAGGTAAGATATACAAGTTCTGTATTATGAATTTCGGAAATGAAAGACTGGAGCAAGTATATTGACCTAGAACGAATAAAGCGCATGGTACTGGGTGCAATGAAGATTTAAGGGCTGTATGGGAATAGATGAGTGCGTCGCGATCGAGCACAAAATAGAGTGAGAAGTTCGAAGAGATTAAATATTAAACTGTACGGAAGAGTAGATTGGCCTCTGACCTCTTTTAGTTAAACTGATACTCTTTGCTAGAAAGCAGGTTTGGCAAGCTTTCCTTCTGGTACTGGTACTACAAAGGATACTTTTTTATTTGTTTTATCTGATCCTCTTTTTCTGTTCTCTCTCTCTCTCTCTCTCTCTCTCTCTCTCTCCTTCATCCTTTCTGTTATTAACAGGGCGCGTGCCCTCACTAACCTGGTTCACTGGTCAAGATCAGAATCCCTAAGGACTATTAATCAAAGATAGGACTTTTTTTTTAGAGAGTTACTGCCTTGCCATCCATCAAATTGGATTTCTTTGTGACTCCATGAATTTAATAGACTTCATTAAAGTAGATGTCAAATATTTAACTATGAATTAATTAATTGAATAATGTAATTAGTGTCATTGTCTATATTAAGCAGTGAATCAAATTTTTCTAAGAATTCCAGTTAATCTGTAATTTTTTATCGTGTCGTACAGCAAATGCGAGAGACGGAAGCTCGTCGGGCAGAACTGGAAAAACAGCATGCAGAGACACAATCTCAGCTGCGCGAGAAGATAGCAGGTCGATACCAAGGTCCAGAATCGGTAGAGGCACTGCAGTCGAAGATCCGTGAGCTGGAAAAGAAGATCGAACTGCAAGTAGTGAAACACGAGGAGTTGTCACTGGAGTTGACGAGCCTAAGGCGTGCCAGGAGTAGAGGACCAACTAGTTCCAGTCACGTGTCCTCAGCCAACATCCCCACATCAACGTGGCCACCTGCAGGATCTGAGATCGACAGAATCATAGCCAAAATAGAGCAGGACAATAGGTGAGCCAGGACATTCCCACCGGTAGATCAATTGTCCAAGACTTGGTAACCGGTGCGCGTGTCTAGATATGATCCATAATAGCGCCATATTGCGTCACACTCAAGATGATCTTACTCAGCTTAAGTAAAACCAGTGCCAGCAGGATTCTGCACGAGCTGGACCATTCGAGAGGTACCGTGACGACTCAGCCGCCATCAGCCAGTCAGAACATCCTAAGATCGAGTTCGGAGAACCTTCCTAATCTTGGTCAGCATCAGCATCAGCATCTTCCTCATCCGCATGCCCTGAACCTGGGTCTACCATCGCAGGCACCACAGGCACGTTATTAGCTAAGACTTAAAAGTTGCACAATGAATATATTGAATACTTTATATATTTTTATATTTTACAACAGTATGCAGGCTCGCCAATGCCATTAACACCTATGATGCCTGGTTGTCCACCATTGACACCAAACGGTCCACTTTACCATGTCAGCGAGCCAATTCCACCGGCTCCTTCATTGTCAACGAGCCAATCACAACCTGCGTTCCAACAGAAACTTCAGCAATATCAGCAGCACCACCAGCAGCAGCAACAACAGCAACAACAACACGAGCTCTCGAGTTCTCACTCGCAAGGTGCTCTACCTTCGCAGCAAAAGCAGCAACAAGCGCACACCCACTATTCGAGTAATCAGTATCAGGAGACCTATCCTCATACGCAAACGTATCAGCAACCGATGCAGCAACAGCAGCCTCAACATCCGGCCTCGTCATCTTACATGACGTTAGCTACCCAAAACGTAATGCCACATTACAGTCAGCCTAATCAGCCCAATCAGAATTACCAACTGAACGGAACTCAACAGGTGATTATTATTCTGAAATTTTCTGCACCATTTCATCTATTACTGTTCCCAGTGTAATTAATATGTTAACTAATCAAATAATTATTCACAAACAGACCACAACGTATCCAAATTTATCAATGGCACCTCATCACAATGGGACATATAATTCTGTAGTAACGAGCTACGGAACCAAACTCGTCCATCACAACTTCTCAGCCCCTCATACGAACATCCCGCAGACTACGTTAGCATCGTTACCACCATACTCCACGACGTCCTTTCATTCGACACTGGGCAACCTGTCGAATACGTCGCAACCTGTGCTTCCTTTCTCCAGCGGTCAGAGCACCTTCTCCACGGCCGGGCCTAATTATTCCACTGTTGGGACCAATGCTTACAGCACGTCAGGTGTTAGCTCAGGTATCTATCCTAGGTTAAGCTAGATCTAAGATATTCAACAGATATTATTACACGTGCACTCTCGCTTCAGGAACACCTTCAGGAGGCTTGCTACAAGCCATTGGGGATCCTCTACATGCAATACAACAGTTCACCGCCCAATCACAAGCCAATCAACTTCAACAACAAGCGATTATACAGCAAATACAACAAAGTTTGAGAGAGAGCTCACCGACCGCTACGGTCACTACGGGTCATCATTTCCTGGGACCTAGGCAGATGCCTAAGATACCCACCGGTATACTTACCAATCCTCTGGATCGTCTCACCGGTGACACAATTGTACCTGAAGGACAGGTTGATATGCTGGATATACCTGGAAAGGGACGCTGTTACGTATACATTGCAAGATTTAGTTACGAGCCCTTTCAACATTCGCCCAATGAGAATCCCGAGGCCGAGTTGCCTGTTCAGGGTGGCGATTATCTCCTTGTTTGGGGTCAACCTGACGAGGATGGTTTTCTCGATGCTGAGACCCTTGACGGCAGAAGGGGACACGTCCCGGCTAATTTCGTGCAGAAACTCGTCGGCGACGATCTTCTCGAATTTCATCAGGCTGTTCTTGGACTCAGGGATGTTGACGATGCAGCCTCCACTAATATTCCCCAGGTGAGACTGAACGTATATATGTGTATATTTGACGCAGCGTTTCTTGTTGAAGGCACTAGTTTTTAGGAAATGCTTTTATGTTCTTTACTTTAGTGCTATCTGCAAGACATTGACTTGGAATTAGCTGCTCTCGAGGAAGGTAACAGAAATCGGCAGGCGGAATTGTCTGCATACGCAGAACTGGATAATATTGCGGATGAGGATGAACAAGAACCGCCAGGTTGGTATTGGTGTCTCGTGCATGTAATTTTTATATGGTTTTATCAGACTGTTGATTTCATTATTAAGAGCCGCAATTTTGAGGATTTTCTCATGTGGAGTTGTCATCATTATTTATTTATTATGTTTCTTTTCCTGAAGTGTTAAGAAATTCGAAAATTCTCTTATGTTTTTTCAACAATAAAAAAAATGTTTGCTCTCCATCTGTCAAATCGAACTTTTCTTTTCATCAAATTGGATATTGAACAATGATATTTCCTATTATTTCATATCTTAGACTCCTCTTTGATATACATATAACAATTCATATATGTGCATGCTGCACGTAAATTACTTAATTATTGTTTACTACTTTCACCTGACTCAGCTATTAATTCATTTTTCGCAATGAACGGTCGATTTTATAAGAGCTGCGACGACTGCTCGATTCTACAGTGTTACTAATTTATATATAGGTATACACAGATGTAGCAAATAGTCAGAATCATGTTAGTAATCGTATCTAAAGTTTGATTGACTGGGCGCGGTCAGATAGGAACCGTAGAAATTAAAATGAATTTTAGAAAAACATACAGACATTTATTAAGTAGCCTGATCCTTGCATTACCAGGGAGTTATAATTTCTTGCTTAGAATTAGATTTAAAAAGTAGATAGCTCAATGGTATTTTGACTGATCAGTCATTCAATGCCATAAAGACTTTGGATCATCGCTTGATCACTACGTAGTACAACGTACGCGTAGTTCGTAGCTGATGCTAAATGTGCCTAATGTCAATTCGATGTGTAACTGGATACTTGAATAATTAATACTCATACAAGTTTTGCACCAGGTCCTCAAAGAGTACTCTTGTATACCTGACAACAAGTACGTATAAATAAACGAAAATAAGTATAATAAAAAACCCAGTAAATGATTGTCCCGAGTTACCACTATCTACATAAGAACATCACTTGGTAGTGCAAGGGTTGTTTATATCGTCAATAATCGGAATAAAACAGATAAATAATAATGGTCAAACTTGCAATAAATTTGTATTAAAAAATATCCAAAGTGATATCGAGCATGAATGTGGAATGTTATTAAATGCTGATTATGAATTAACGTTTTCTACTGGAAAAGACAGTCAGTTTCGATAATTGTCATTAATTTTTAATAAAAATAAGAAGTATTAACAAACAGACAGTTTTAAAGAAACGTGAGATCGGAAAAGGGCTAATTGGCAACAATGAAGCGTCTGAGTGATGATCGTGCATTGTATGAGATACATATTGGATGGAATTTAGGCTTTCTGAGAGAGAGAGATTTCTAGCTACAGCTAGGGTTGTCTTGTCTTTTCCCCCTGAAGAAGTCTACCTGTTTTCGGACCTAGTTCCGGCGCCCCAGCATCTGACCCTCGAGCGCCAGCTTAACAAGAGCGTCCTCATCGGCTGGACAGCCCCTGAGAATCCTCATCAGCTGGAATCTTATCACGTTTACGTGGATGGTGTGCTCAAGGTCACCGTCAAGGCCACGGAGAGGACGCGAGCCCTCGTCGAAGGAGTCGACAGCACCAGGGTTCGTATTAGATTAAAATGAACTATTCGGTCTAGAGCATCCTCCAGAAAAATAAATAAGATAAAAGTGGCGAGATTAACATTCTGTATCCACTGTTACTTTTGGATAAGCAGCCTCACCGAATAAGCGTGCGGTCTGTGACACATTCGCGAAGGACATCGAGGGATGCTGCATGCACGATGGTCATCGGTAAGGACGTAGCCCTGGGTCCTACAGCCGTCAAAGCATCGAACGTCACTGCTACGAGCGCAGTGATATCCTGGTTGCCGAGTAACAGTAATCACCAGCACGTGGTCTGCGTGAACAACGTGGAAGTGAGGACCGTGAAACCTGGAGTGTACAGACATACCATCACTGGTCTGGCACCGTCGACGATTTACAGAGTGACTGTAAAGGCGAAGAATCTTCGGGCGACACACTTCGAGGACCAAAATGCTCAATCGGCGAACAACCTGGCCTGCCACGTCCATTTCAAGACCCTACCCAAAGGGTTGCCCGATCCTCCGGTTGATATCCAGGTTAAAAATAAGAAGCACCACTTAAGCACTTTATCAGTGTTTTGCAGCAACGCTTCAGAATATTTTATCACTACCACGGTTCTTGACTTGGTTCTAATTCTCGATAATTATTAATGAATGCACACATAGGAATCACAGCCTGCTTGTAAGATTGCATGCTTCCTGTAGATGATCTTAAAGAATACAGTAGAAAATAGTAGAATGCAATGTGTATTGCCAGGTGGAGGCTGGACCGCAGGACGGCACTTTGCTAGTGACCTGGCAGCCTGTTGCCCTAAACGGTTCGGCCGTCACCGGTTATGCGGTTTACGCCGATGGGAAAAAAGTCACCGACGTCGACAGCCCCACCGGAGATCACGCCTTGGTCGACATCCACAAGCTGATGGGTCTTAATCCAAAGCACATCACGGTCAGGACTAAGAGTCGTGAGAGTCAGTCTGGTGACAGCTGTGCCACGGCGATACCCTGCAGCGTCCTCAGGAGCGGGACTCATCTGCACGGACAGCAGCATGGGTCACACATAGTGGAACAAGGTCAACAGCAGAACATGGGTCAGGACGATCCTAATCGCAGAGTCTCTAACATGGGTCAGCGATATCCCAGTGCACCTGTACCTCCACATATGAGGCGGCATGGCGCCACGAGGGTGGATGCACATGGTCAAGTCGTTATCGAGACTGATGAAAATTTATCCGATAAGGAAATATATCCTGGACAGAGCGTCTCTCAGATGGGTAAGATTTATCTTGACTCTCAATGTACAGATTCTCCATGGGTTTTAGCACCTACGCTATATTAATTTCCATCACGCAGGTATACCCGAAATTATGAAGGATTCTGCGAGTGAAGCAAATTATAGTGAAGAAGAAGATCCATCCAGAAGAGCTCGCGGTATGCCACCTCATCATGGACATCGTCGATATGGTGCTCAGCAAGGTCCTCAGGGAGCCGCGCATAGAGCAGGTAGAGCTCCAAGTGGTTCCAGGGCTCAGGATCCTTATTACGATCAATCAGGTATACGTCTAACCTTGTATATCAAATACATAAAGTTGAAAGTATGTTTTAACATTTTTATAATTATTAGGGAATCAAAGAGGCAGAGGTCACATGTACAGAGGTAGGGGTAATCTTCAAGCTCAACCAGGTACTCATCATCCACCAGGAGGCGCACAGCAAGCTAACAAAAGAACTAGATGGTTCGTTGCACTATTCGATTATGATCCTACCACAATGTCACCAAATCCTGACGGCTGCGAAGAGGAGCTACCGTTCTCGGAAGGCGACATTATCAAGGTTTTAATGCCTTTCAAATGAATATTCTTATTAAAGAACGAAAGAAATACAGCCTGTTTATCATTTAGTGTAATTTCTCTATGACAATTTATAAGACCATTACTTTTCTCTGATTTTAAGGTTTACGGGGAGAAAGATGCTGATGGCTTCTATTGGGGAGAGTGTCGAGGTAGACGTGGATACGTGCCACATAACATGGTTGAGGAGTTGAAGGACCAGACACAAATTCAAGGTCAAGTACAAGGTCAAGGCACTGTAACAAGACGAGGTCAAGGTCAAAGTGACAGATGGGGCGACATCTACGCGAATATGCCAGTTAAGAAGATGATAGCACTATACGACTATGATCCTCAAAAATTATCGCCCAACGTTGATGCTGATGTAAGGCACTTCTCGATAGAAATGAGGATCGACAATTTACATAATATATTAAAATTGCTTCGTTTAAACAGCAAGTGGAGCTGAGTTTCGAAACCGGAAACGAGATCTATGTCTACGGGGAAATGGATGACGATGGTTTCTACATGGGTGAATGCAACGGCGTCCGGGGGTTGGTACCCAGTAATTTCCTGACCGAAGCTCCTTGCCAGGGTGAAGGTCAACCTCCATCTGGGAATAGGAGACCACCTGGTCAAGGTCAGGGACCTGGTGCCAGAGGACCACCACCGCCACCCAGGGAACCGCCTCCGCAAAGTCATCGACGTATGAAAGGTAAAGCATTCAACTTTCCCAATATCGTCTCCATTTTTATTATTCAAACCAAAGAATACAGCATCTGTCTCTTTTCCGTTCCCGCTGACTACTTGCCGATTCTAATTTACACCTTTGATCGATATCCGTACCTAGTATTATTTTTTTTTCAATAAAACCGTTAACATTAATGTGTATGGGTTTGCAATGAATATCAGTGTAATTTAATCCATTGTCGTTTGTACTTCTACCACTCGTGTAGGTGTGTTGTCCTCTTTTTAAAAGTTTGTATCCGTTTTCATCCGTTCGACTTACCTGATATTGATGTTAATGACAAGGAAACGTGTGTATCGTAAAAGGTTCTTGGATTCCTTACCGATATATACGTATATATAGAATTACATTTTTCTGGAACTCCCGTGTATGTTTTGTTACCGATCTTTCATTCGACATGCGAGTCAGTGCGACCGAAAACAGAGACGTCAAGCGCAACACTAGACACGAGACTCAATGTGCCAGACGACAGACAGAAAGGGTCGCAGCAATAGTTGATTATCGTGCTGGCCAATTAAATATTATTAAACATTTTTATAACTGTTGGTCATCGTACTAATGACACGATTTGCCGATTCATCATCATATACGTATATATATACATACCCCACTTGAATTACACTGACTGGCAATGTTCTGTAGTACGCACAGTATAATGACAATATAATGTATGTATTTTGTGCGTAAAAGATTCAAAGAGTTTGATACGAACGACTCTCCAAATAATTTTTATAACGAATTCCTTTCCACAAGGCTCATGTCCACGACTGGTTGTTTTCTCAAACCTCAAAGACTTTTTGGATCTTCTACAGGCCCCACGTCATATCATTGAGTCATCGTTATTTATTATTTCCTCACCTATAATATTATATTATTCTAAGAGACATCATTAATCCTTACGAGGACCATATTTAAATGATTATCCATAACGAGAATGACCCAATTGCCAAATTATTATCTGAAACAAAAATTACTTGATGAAGCAGCATAAATTCTTTAGAGTTACACATAAATGCAACGTTTGTACCTTGGTAAAAAAAAAGTGTAACAAAACTAAAAATCACAAAATATTTCTCTCATTAGCAAAATTAAATAAGAACCAGCTGTATGTCATAGGTCTTTTAAGGGTTAATCGTACAACTTATTGTCGGCCAATGTAACCAATGTCACATAGAATAGACATTGTACCGTTGCTTGACTCGTAAACGAATCAGATCCGCAACAATGTCCTAATAGTTCGTACGAGCTACGAAACATTCCCAGGAGCAGGTATAGCAACGTAAGGAAAAAAAAAAGATAGTGAAAACAACCACTTTTCGGCACAGTCTAAGTCTTAAATTATAGGAGGACCAAGCAGGCCTTCGAAAAATTCCCCTACGACAATGGATCCCTCGAGAAACAAAGAGACATGTGTCATATTAGATTCTTTAAATTGAAAATTTATCATCGTAGCTATTATTCATAAGACACGTGGAAAAAAGAAATGAACATACTATATAGTACATATAAGCGGCATAATGCTGCTGCAGGGAACACGAGCCGCAAATTACACACAAAAAATGCAAAGAACACAAAGCTGCTTTCGGTGTGTCCTCTTTAAGTACATAAATAAATATCATTAAATACATCATATGTTTCAGTTTTCTATGAAATACTTTTCTCCTTCGTTTATTCTCAAACTTTCAGAGCTTTCTCAGGCTCCATTAACTGTTCTCTCTCTCTCTCTGTGTACGCATATGTATATACATATGCGTATATTATATGATTATTATTACATATCTCTCCTACTATCTGTATGTATATTTTCATATGTTTATGCATATCAATTAAATATACATATATGCATATGGATATGTGCCTATACATTCATTATATTTATTTATCGAACGATTATACTATACTGTATACTATATGATCATGTTGTTATATAATAATAAATATACTATATATTGACATGATCTGTCTCTGTGTGCCTGAACTGGTCGGTGGTCGTCGTGTCACATGATTGTCGTTCGTGTCGTGTTGTCATGCTGGTGCTATTTTATAATTACTAAACATTTCACTCTTTGCTGTTACCTTTCTCTATTCTTTCTTCTCTTCTTTCCACTTCGCATCTAATTATCTGCGTGAGCTGTTATCACTTTTTCTTGACGTGGGAACAGCCGGTTCGCTATTGTGACGTCTCTGCCTTTCTTCCTTTATCGAACTCTTATTATTTCCTGAAGAATAGTGAATTCAATCTTTTTTATATTCATTTCTATAAATTTTATTCGCGAAAAATCTGATAAAAATCTGAGAAATCTGATATATCCTGCAAAATAATCAAACTTACATACGTTTTCACTTGTCCTATACTATGTGTACGTATTTAATATGTGGAATTTATCCGCGATATGAGAAATTTATTATACTTGCATACTCTATATCTAGAAACGTGCCTTTATTCTCTATCGAAGTACAGTCGAGTACGTTACACGTAATAGTTTGACAAAAAAGTTTTATGAAAATTTTTGTATGAAATTTTCTTTAGACTTTGTTCAATATAATTTAGGAATTTGACGTTTCAGTGGGAAGTAAGAATTTTTTGTGTAATTATAATTCTTATGGGATTCAGCCAAAAAAAAATTACTTTCTCTCTAATACTGTCATCTAGTCTCCATTGCACCTCTCACTACTCTTTACTCTATGTGCTCTCAGACCTCTTCTTTTCGTTGTACTAAAATCTGCTCGAAATTGCGTGCCTCCAATCTACTATCTCACTACTAACCGTTGAACATGAAAAAGTACCTCGTTTCGTTAAAGAGACAAACAGTCGCTCGTACATCTTGTTCTACTCTCGACGTTGATGGATAAGATGATTGCCAAAAATAAAGAAAATATTTTTTTCAAAATAAATTACGGTAAATTTGAAAATAACTTTTACTGATAATTCTTATCGAGTATCATCTGCTAAGGAGCGTCTGCGGCCTCCTGTACGCAATTTAACGGCGAACGAGGTACGTTTGGTACAACGTATTTTTGCAAAAAAAGGATATGAATGATCAAAGTAAAGTAAAGAAAAGAGAAAAACCAGAAGTGCGCCATGAATGACAACACGGTTCTGTTCTCTTCTCTGTTGCTAGATGCCTGCATTGTGCCTGTGTCTGTCCCTGTCTGTCACTTAGACTCTAGACAACAACAACAACAACCACTAATGAACAACCAACAACAACAACAACAACAACATCAACTACAACAACAAAACAATCCACCGCATCTAGCGTACCAACAAGCGAATCACCACAGCTACACGACCGTAACCACCTCCAATCAGCACGGACCCAATCACCCGCAGACTGGCGGTCCCATGGGACCCCCTAATGCCCACCAGCAGGGTCCGGGGTCCGTACCGCCCCACCTTCAACAGCAGGTGAGTGCACCTAAACCCCGAGCTCTCAATCTCTACCTCAAAACTGTCTATTTATCTGTCTGTCTATCAATCACTTTCTCCTCGTAATCTACTCTTGCGATCAATGTCACAAAATGGTCTCACCAAGGAAATCGATCTGAAGTTTCACTTGTAATAATCTACCGTAACTTTACGTTCTATCTTTTTTCTTTCAGTTTTTAGTACAAAAAATAGTGGAGTTCCCTTTTATTTTCTGTCTAATGTATTTCGGCCTTCGGTAATGAGCAATCACTTTGACGAGATTTTAATCTCTGGTTGGGAAACTGTGTTTCGGATTTTCAGCATCTATAAAGACACACGCGAAAAAGTCGAATGACTTTGATCTAGCGGTGACGTTTTTTCCATACTACCTGTTAAATTACTGAACGAGTGACCGAGTTTTTTTTTCTAACCTCTTTTGATACGACAATACTGATTTTCCTGCCGGTTATTCGAATTTTCTTGACAATCGACTCGTTTCTTATATGCGACCATTGATTTTCTACGTCTAGATACGATTTCATATACTCGATGGTCCAAGCAATTAAAAGTGTAACTAACGCTTCTAAAAATTATTTTCTGCCCTTTAGGAACAGTATTGATAAAAGTACTTAGTTTCTTTTTTTCAAGTACTCGATATTACTTCTAACGGCATTAAGTGCAAGCTGAACTATGAAGCATGTTGTATTATCTGTCTGCCTTCGGAAGTTTCACGCAAATATCATTCATATTAACCCTATATCACTTTATTAATTTTACCTACTCATCATTTTTCAGTAGAACATCTGCCGCCAATAATTTTTCCAGGATGGGCATTCTGTCTAAAACTTCAAGCGTCGCGTGTATTGTATTTATTTTTTTGTATTGACGCGTCCTCATATAATTATACCACGTGTACTTTCGCTCTATTTTATGACAAAGTGCTTTCTAATATGCAGCTCGAGTTTTTTTAATGAGTGTACACGCTTGACACAACATTATGCACTTACATTGAACATCAAACCACATCAGTATCATCCACAGCATAAGTCAACGAAGCGACAATTCGTACTTCGTGCCTGCTAAGTATGACCTGAGACATACGTATTGCCTGGTCCAAAGCAAATCGTACATACAATTTTCGACGATATTTAGATACCAACTAAAAAAACATATACCTACCCATTAAACATAAGTAGAATAATAACATGCGATCCTAGTACCTAACGAAGCTTAGAAATACTAATTTAGTATCATACTTCATTATATCGCATACATATACATATTGTATGTAACATCCCAGTGAAGTGAGTCCTCATGGTAAAAAATCCACGGTACAATCAATTATCATTATACCAACGATATAAGTTCATTATTCACGTAGTAAGAGTCGAATTCCAAATATATCTAGTTAGTTAATCAATAACAGTACCAAAGCTGTGCCCAGGAACAGTTTTTGAATATATTTTTTAAGAGTATGCACATGCGACAACATATGATTCCTGTATAATTTTTTGACAGCGCTTAAATGAGCGTTTACCTCGACACGGCCCTGTCGAGTACCTAGCCGTCAGTTTGTATAGTTACAGAGAAAAAAAATTCGAATCCGGATAAAGAGAGTTAAAAAAATGTTTGAAAAGATGGAAATACAAAAGTGGAATTATTCCAGGGGAGGGGGAGAGGCGCGGGCAGTCGGGTCGGTGGTAGTAATGTACCAGGAGCTCTTCAAGGTCCGCCGCCGCATCTGCAGCAACAGCACGATTACCAGCAGCAACAGTCGCAACAACAACAGCAGCAATATCCTCAACAGCAACAGAACCAGCCTAATCAAGGCTACGGACAGCAACAACAGCATCAACAGCCAAATCAGGGATATCAACAGGGTCAGGGCTATCAACAATCGGGCCAACAAAATTTCCAACAACAAAATCAACCGTATCAACAGCAACAGGGACAACAGTACCAACAACAAAATCAAGGCCCCTCCATGCAGGGACCTCAAGGCACGAGTAAACCTATGAGGGGTATACCGGCGGTCATTCCCACGGCTCAGGCCCAATCGCAACAAGACTCTCAGGCGCAGCAACAGCAACCCCAACAGAATACGGGTCCCAATCTCATGCAAAAGTTCACTGAAATGGCCGGAGCGAGCGCCGGTGGTGACATCTTGTCGAAGGGCAAGGAACTCATATTCATGAAATTTGGATTGGGCAAGTGAACCATTGCCGTTCCTCGTCAATTCGATTTCGTATTTTGGTTACCTTTTACCTTCTTGACTTTTCTTGCATTCCTCGTCAAATTTGATTCCCCTTTCCAAGGCCTTACCCTCAAACTTCTACCAGTAGCGTTCCTACTATTACCGCTACTGCTATTACTGCTAGTGTTGTTACACCTATCATTACTATTAGATACCTCTCGTTCGTTCGCTAAGCCAATTTCTACTTTTATCATTTTTAAATTATCGTTGTATCCTCGTTGCGATTCCTGCTATGGACGCCCGGTGCGTTCACAAACAGGATAAATTGGTCCTCTGAGAATATTTCTAAATCATCAGTATTATGCATTATGTTCTATGTATCTATGTACTTGCGTACCTACCTACCTAAATACCTAATTACACAACAACCTACTTACCTACTCTCGCGAAAATAATTTTTTCACTTGTTTTCGGGGACAAGGGCGGCTTTTGCTGAAGTGGAAAGTATCGTGAAATTCACGCTGGTCATTATAAATATTATTTATCGTTGTTATATATATATACATTTATTATTATTATATTGTCATTGTCATTATTATTATTGCCGCTATACGTATAATAAGGGATTTACTGACTGTTACGTGCGCGCGTGAATGGCTACATTATTTCCACCCTTGATGAATTTTATCTGTGACAAAATGACGAAGTCCATCGCAAAGGGTGGTAATCTCGTCGAAGAGGAAAGTATCAGGAATATTGAAGTTTATCAATAGTATAAAGAAACTAATAAATGCGCTTTAAAAGCGAAATTCGAATCAAACGACAAAGTGCAGTTTACGTGTTTTCGACTTTAGGATGAACTCAACTTGCATAAATCCCTTCGCTGATTGCTCAAGGATCCTACTTCTGGATTAGCCAATTCATTTAGTATTTCGTGGATGTCGTGTACGTAACGTCACCGTTTATCCATGTAGACGGTAATGACTCGATCTGCCGACGAAGTGGTTTACGCTGAGACGTCACGACGAATCGTGACACGTAAGCTGAACTTAAACAATGCTGAGACGAATGTTAAGGGATCACGGTCGTATTAAGACCGCAAGAGAACCGAGGAAGATCTCGAGGATGACGTGGATGCTACGTATAGAAAAAAGATGCTGTACCACGTCGTATATTGTATATGAAGCAAATAAAAACGACGATGAATAAACTTCCCTGTCCGCATCCGTATAAGGAAAGACGACAAGTAAGAAAAAAGAAGTCTGTTTCAATGAGTTCTGCGAAATTTCGTTTAAGGGAAAAAAAATTTAGGAAAAAACCCGTTTAAATAACGAATAATTATATAACGAGAAACTCGAGATCTTCCTTGAACAACGTTGCGAATTGTTCGTACGCTTTTAATAAGATTTTCGCGAGACGGCCATTGCGTAATGTCCAAACCGTTCTCTATGATTTTACGTGTATCATTTCCAATTCTCCTTTTCTCACCAAGCATGTCAGTAGAAAGTGACGCCGCGTAGTACCTATCGTACATTTCGTTTTGAGCTTTTGGCGTACGCTGGATTACGCGAAACCAGCAATTTTCAGTCCCCTCTTTGTGTAATTCCAAAAAAAAGCAAAAATCAAATGCATATTCATATCCATTGGGTACCAGTAAAGTACAGAGAAATTTAAACTGGAACGACAATGGTGCTCGTGGTACCACTGGAAACGTATGACTGGTCGAGGCTACACAAACCAAAAAAGAAGCGCGAGAGAGAGAGAGAGAGAGAGAGAGAGAGAGAGAGAGGGGACAAAAAAGTATGAAGTAAAACTAGTTAACCAAGTAGCACATTATAGGTTACATATAAAGTCGGAAGGACTAAGGAACGACACGATGAAGAGTCCTGAGTCCCGTGGGAGTGGGCGTGCCTTGAGATGCCTCACCCTGACGCAAACAATAATCATATCTATGAACGATTAAAGATTAATAATTAATTCGTTAAGACGAAAATCGTATGTATAGAACGGCGCTAAAAAAAAAGTATTGATCTGCCGTATTTGCGATTTCATGTGAGAGAGAGAAAGAGAACGAGAGCGAGAGCGAGAGAGAGAGAGAGAGAAAAGTAAATAATAATGAATAATATAATGATAATAAAGGAGAAATTAAATGAAAACCAAATTATTACGAGGAACGTCGAATCCTCGAAGATCACAGATTCCATATTATTCATCTCTGATCAGTCCAGCATGGTTACGCCCTACGTCGGAGGTGCTTGATCAGTTTCTCATAGACGATGTTCAGGTCTATGGATTCGATGTTCATCGACTCCTGAAATCCCCGTTGCGCCACTGACGATATAAAGTTTTGCTTGCCGTTGCGCAATAAGCAGTAATGTGGCATGCAATTGAGGTGGGCCCACCTGTCACAATCTGCCAGCTATTATAATTATGCGAGAGAGAAAGAGGGGCAAAAAATTATTAATGAATAAAAGAAACAATGAATACCAAAAGCAAGCATACCAATTGCGTCGTAATAAATTGATCGATGAATTATCCAATATTATTAAAAAAAAATTAAAATAAAAAAATAAGATCGTGGACGAGGAATGTGTGAGAGAAAATTGAATAGAAATCGATAAGCGCGCAAAGGATTAAAAGGATATATACTCACGTCTACAGATACGTATGCTGGTGGCTCTGTCGGTAATAGCGTGATAAAATTCTGACGTGAAAATTATTCACTGATATGTGTCAAGAATGATTGCACGTGAATATATATATAATAATAACGGTTACGTGACGTATACATATATATATAAATATATATAAAATATTATATATATATATATTATATTTAACTATCGCAAATTGTTGTTACACCGCTACTTGTGTGTATTTTGTACAAAGTATCCTATTTTTATGTTTTCTTTTTTTCTTTCGCCAAGATTATACCAAAAACAAAAGATATAAGGGTATAGCGATAAAAGCGATTATCTTCGAGATCGTACTATACATATATATGACATACAGATTTCGCGGGGACTTGGGCTATTTAAATGCGTGGTGTCCTAATTGTACTCGACTACGAAATATAACGTGGAATGCGATTAACGTTCGTCAAGAGGCAGATCGATGACGTCACGTTTTTCGTATTGATCGTCGAATATAATTATTCTCTAATCAGAATTCGACGATTCCTTTGTGGCGGGATAGTATTTACGTTCGATCGATCGTAAGTCTAACCGCGAATGACGCAAGGCATATTTTCTCCGTGTAAAAGACATAAGAACACGTTAAACGTCACGTCGTCGACGTGAGTCGTTAAAAGAATTATCGATGCAAGAAAGGAAAGAAAAAAAGAGTAAAGAAGCAAGTAGAAAATAAAAGAAAAGGGTTGCTAAGAATCAATTGTGAAAATTGCATGGAAGAACGACGCCATTTTGGTTCACCGAGCGAGGTCGGCTCTACGTCCTTCCATGGTAGAACGATCTTGGCTCGTCTACGGAACGTTTTGTTTTTAGTGTTGATACCAAACGATCAGTCAAAGACGATGATGATTGGACTTTACACAGTCCATTGGATTAGTTGAAGAATATTATGGGGATTTATACATCATACGCAGTGACGTATGGGACGTTGTTCTTATAAAGGTATATATGTATATATACTTGGGTATCTTAACGAGGAACGCTTTGATTAGCGTTCGACTGCTGAACATGAACCACTTATCATTATTGTGTAGTAGAATCCCGTTTCTATACTGTGCATGATCATTGGACGATCGTCGATGGACTTTCATTATTTCTTGTTAGGCTGAATTATACGATGTGAATACTTGCTGACGTTTTTTGATCTTTATTATAATCTATAGATGCGTACTTGGGTCGTCGCGTAACCTAACGTCCGTACTAAGTGCAGAGATCAAATGAAATGTTGTCACGTGACCAATTCCAATCGTACGATTAAACTTATTTGATTTTACGGAAAGTTCGGGGATTCCCCCCGCGCGATCTAGGAGTTCAGTGTATGACGATACTATTATATAGAGATATATATATAGGACTCGTGCATTAGTCAAATCAATAAATAAATTATGCGAAACTAATCGATGAGAGAGTAATCGTACATTGACAACCATATTCAATATCAATAAAACGGATAATGGTTTGATAAAAATTTGAATAACGGAACCGACTATATGTTGTCCTTGGCATTCGTCTCGGTCACTCAAGACTGCGAAACCCCGATAATAATTAATTCCACGTTATTAAATTTCCATGCAGATTGGAGAGAACACAATAGACGATGAACCAATGATTGATTTAATTTCTATCTTAGAGGTTAGCCCACGTATCCTATCTAGTGTCTATAACGGTTTCTATTTGTAGCTCAAGAAGACAGCAGGATTCGATTATAGTTTTCTTTAACTGATACGCGATACGTACGTAGAGAAACTGAAAAACAGTAAATAAGACGTTTTATTGTCAGGCTGAAAAAGTTGTCGAACGGTGATGGCTAAGAGTCTAGATGGCGTCGTCGTGTATGACGTCCGCGGATTTTTAGTCAATGACGATAGAGAAATAATTATTAGTTGAGGCACTCGCCGTTCCGTCTCTCGTGTATTGACACTAAAAACTCCAAGGAGGACGTAGCCTAATTACTACGATACACATGTATGTATAACGCATCGAATTATGCATGCCAAGTTTCGCCAGCTACGTTTCATATTCAGTGAACCTTGCGCTTCGTTTTCTATTAATCGGTGAATCGCGGACTCGACGCTCTTTGTTAGCCACGCGTGAGGTCAAGAGAGAAGAGTGGATGAGAGAGAGAGAGAGAGAGAGAGAGAGAGAGAGAGAGAGAGAGAGAGATAGAGAGAGAGAGAGAGA